GAGGAGAAGGAGAAGCGGGGAGTTTGGCATGTCCAAAAACGAAACCAAACATCGATTGCCACATGACGCATTCTCAGAGGAGGAGGACAAGGAGGACTACGACGAAGAAGAAGAGGAGGAGGAGGAAGAAGAAGAAAGTGAGGAAGAGGAAGAAGAAGAGGAGGAGGAGGAAGAAGAAGAAGCTGAGGAGGAGGACGAAGAAGAGGCTGAGGAGGAGGAGGAGGCGGACAAAGTTGTGGCTGGCAAAAAAACAAAGAAAAGGATGCGTGCACGCGCTGGAATGTGTGTGTGTGTGTGTGTGTGTGTGAACAGCGCGCGAGTGTGCACACACATACACACAAGTGCTCTCTTCTACACACACACACACACACACACACACACACACACACACACACACACACACTCTCGGTGAAAGTTCGACGAAGCAGTCTAGCACAGTCTTGTTTTTTTTTTTCAGTGTACAACGAGTATGACAACACACACAGACTCAGCTACGTTTTTCTTTTCCATATTTCTTTTCCTTCTTGTTGTTTATCTTCCGTTTTTCTATAGCCGCAAACCCGTCCAAGTTGAGAGTGAGCCTTCATTGAACTGGCGTTCAGTTTCTGAATGCAAAACCCGTCCAACTTCAAAGAACACGGGCTTTCAATATCTGCAGAAAGTGCTGGTGGCTTAATGCCGCGTATGTGTGCCATCATTGTCAGGCACTGACAAGCTGCCATAATGTGCCATTCATGTTAAATTCGTCTCTTGGCAAATGGCAAAAATGCTGTCTGCTTCGCAAGTGACAAGTGGCACTGTGGCATACTTCGTGTTTCGGCGTTTTTGGGGTTTGCCAAAAGAGCACAAGACTTTGGGAACGCTATCATAATGAAACTGCGGCAATAAGGGCGAAGGCCCGAACGGCCCCGAAGGGCATCGCCGCACCAGCGGCACCACTCACTCAACCAAATGTGCGAAATTAGAGTGAGCCATCGGCCATGCAGTGCCACCTAGAGCGTGGGGAGTTATATCGTAATAAATTATAAATTCTGTCTTTTGTGCATTTGGTTAAGTATKGCGGCCAGTTCCAATCCTCCCAGCCCTGGATGTATGTGGACTTTGGTGTGAGTCCAGATACATAGAGGGGGTAGCAGCGTTCTGAAAACGTGGTACCCTAAATTTTCCCACAGTCTGGATTTTCAATTTCCCTTCAAAACAATAAAATATGTCCGTTTTGACGAAAAATATCTCCTGTGATATAACGGTACCCAAAAAAGAATGATTGCATGGGCCTCTCCACACCACTGTAGAATTGGAAAACTTCCGAAAAAGTACACATGCATCTTCCAAAGAAAAGGGCAAGATGCACGCCTTACCTTAAATAGTCTGGCACAGTCATGCATCTTCCTTGAGTGTGCGTGTATTGTCATGTTCGCAATACACAGCTCGACGAGAGGTGACTAAACCCGACATTGTGTGCGCGCGCGCGCGCGCGAGAGAGAGAGAGAGAGAGAGAGAGAGAGAGAGAACACAGAGAGAGAACACAGTGAGAGAGAGAGAGAGAGAGAGAGAGAGAGAGAGAGAGAGGCGCCTGCGATTTGTGTGCTTCTCTCCTTCGTTCGGATTTATTCATCGTCTCTGGAAACATTAAAAATTCGTGTATATGGGCCTCGCTGCGCTACTCTCCAATGTGCGAAATGAGAATGAATCTTCCGCTAGAACGTGGAACGATACACCGCCATATTTTTGTCTTTTGTGCATGTGGAGAGAAGTGCAGCGAGGCCCTACGTGTTACTGAGACAGTTACTCTATTGCGAACAAGCATGTACGGCAATCTGACACACGCAGTGTTCGAGAACAAACATGTATATTTGTCACCAAACGGTCTACGTGCAGCCAAAACCGGAAGATGCGGAAATCTTTAACTAAACCTGGAGACCGTTATTCTCCTCGGAGGTCATACTCGCACAGGCTCTCTCCAAATTACATCTCACTACAATTACGGCCAGGCCACGATGAATCTGACCGCAATCACGCCCAAAGCTTTGTTGAAAAAAAAGTCCTAGTCTTAGTATGGCCTGAGGTTATCTGCCCTTCCCAGAGCGTAGTAGCCTAAGTAGCACAATCTCTCTCTCTCTCTCTCTCTCTCTCTCTCTCTCACACACACACACACACACACAC